CCCCCCTATATATATATACAAACTTTTATAAATGTATTTCATTTTGATCATTACTGTTCCTTCTTAGTACTGTCTGTTTCTTTGTTCATTACATACCTTACAAATTCCGACACAGCTGCCAATATTATCTTGCAGATCACAATTTCTGAGTACCTTCAGTCATTGCAAGAGCTGAATTCAAATTCTAAATCATATATAAGAAGATATCCTGCCAAACACCAAGGTATGATAGAAAAGGTTCCTAGGCACGAACTTGTTACAATGTAAACACTTTACCTTCGTGAGGAATTACATCATACCTGCTTCTTGGTATAGCATACCTGCTTCATAGAATAGCCAGCCTTTTCCATTTCATATCCTTTTCACTCATCTTAAACCTCAAAGAGGTAAAGAGGCCTGAAACTATTGGTAGGGCGAGCCAAAGTTTGTCATACATCAAAGCAATACTCAATTTGTTCATACAAACAGGTCAGAGTCCTGAATAATTTAAAGAAGAGCATTTTATTGAAGCAGCCATGTTGAGCAACTTTTAGATAAAGTAACTGAAGAAAAAGCATTTTAAATTAAAAGAAACCATCTAGTGTCTCATAGGCCCACAAGAGCACAAACCCAACGGCATCATAGAAGAGGAGCACACACCCACCAGTGAATATAAAAGCACAAACTCAACATAAATAAGATATGGTTACCTTCAACCACCAATGCCCCAATTTAAATTTTCAATTTTTCCAATTTAACTAAAATACTTAATTATATCAAATGAAACCAGGAGGATTTGAACCACCAACCTCTCAGACTAGAAAATTCTGAGTGCTCTTACCATTTAGAGCTTATGGTTTCTTCAGCATTCTAAAAGAAACAACCGCGTTTAAACTCTTATCTAATTCAACAAATTAAATAACCACTACTGGGCAACAACCATATTTACAATAAACTGAAGTACAATTCCTATCTGTTTACTTGTTTTTTTCGAATAATATTCTCTGACAACCCTCAATTATTCAAACAAATTAATTAACCACTACTGGGCAACAACCATATTTACAATAAACTGAAATACAGTTGCCATTGTCCAGCTCTATAATATTTTTGTATGATCTGTTTACTGGTTTTTTTTTCGAATAGTATTCTCTAACAACCCTCAATTATACCCTTCGCTACCCTTAGATGAACCCTAAACCTTAACTTTGGATAAACAAACCCTTTAGCAGAAACAAATCTCAAACCCACCTCACCCCACTTTCAAGAAAGTCCTTGTTACCCAAACACACCACCACCACTCCATTTTGTGAGATGCATCCATTTGAACCATAGGCAACTATTCACGAAACCAACCTTTGACTTCACTACAAACCCAAATTTTTCTAATTATCCTCATTATTTTTTCATTGAATCATTCATATCATATTATCAATTATTTTGTTACTAAAACCCATCATCTTTCCGCATTACAACAACCTAGTGCAAACCATAAAACCCAAAATCCTAATTTATAATGCAATTAGATTTAACAACATTCCACAAATTATACACTTAAAAATGCAAGTATAAATATAAAATCAAAACAAATCTACATCATATTATTTAACATTGTTTCCTCTTGACAAAGATTTTCTACAACAAAAAATATAAAATCAAATTCATCATATTTAATATAAAAAAAAATCAATGGTTTCTCCTTACCAAAAGTTTTGAAACAACTATATCCAATAAAAATAAGCCTAAATGCATCATATCATATATTTAAATAATATCTCCACCTACTGATTAATATCTCCACCTACTGATTTCCTCTCGACAAAAAAGCCTCCCAAAGCCCAAAATCCTTGTTGAATTCGACAAACCTCGGCCATCTTGCGCTCAACTAGTACTGCAGCTTGACCATGAAACTTTAAGCATACATTTAAGATCCAATTTAGAACAATATTTACAACTACATACTTAGATTGCTTCCAGTAATAATTAAATTACTAACAGCAATCCCTTTACAAACTTGAATAATTTAATAACTCAACTAGACGACTACAAGACTAATTTAATTGCAAAATTTATATACTTATTAATCACTACAAAATTGTCAATTAACATAAAACAGATTTAATAAACCATTATTAAACAGATCTAATAAACCAAGATGATATATAATGATGTGCTATTGAAACAATCACCTTCGTGCCAGTGGTGCTTAATAATTGATGGTTTTTTGTGCAGGGTGCTAAAAAGATGCATGTCCAATCAAAACTATTATCAGAAGAATTGGAAAACATCGGTTGTTATACCTTTGTGGAATTGCTTCTCTGTTGCATAAAATGTATGGTCCGATCTGAGGAATTAATCGATCTGTAACAAATCTGGTATGGAAGATTTGCAAAAGAGATGAACAAGAGCAACACAGAGGGAAGAGAACCCGGGATAATAAAAAAAACACCCGTGCGTTCTCCACCCCCAAACACCAAAAAACCATACTTTTCATTAGAGCTTTTGTGACCTGCCAAGCGAGCGCACCCAACATGGCAAAGGCCTGATGACAAAAGAGATTACGACACAAGCCGATCTCTTCAACATCACACACATCATAACATCATACGAAATCTACATATCTTTTTCATTTTAACTACAACTAACTAACTAATTTATCATCATATACTTACAAATATTATCAAACAGATCCATGCCAAGCTTCAATCATATGAAAAAAAGATTTATAACCAGAATTACACCACCAGATCTTCAAATCCTTTCAACTAGAAGCATCGATCCTCACTTTCATCTATGAAATCCAATAGATCTGTTATCTGAAAGAAATCGGAGCGCCAGAAACGAGATTATGCAATCTATGAAATCCAATAGATCTGTTATCTGAAAGAAATCGGAGCGCCAGAAACGAGAATATGCAAGCAAATTCATGCTGGAAAGGAATAAGAGATAACATATCATATCCTACTCCATTCCAGCATGACTTTCTTGCATTATTTACCAAGAACGATTGTAGATCTAACAAGGAAATGAAGAGATAGAGGAAACCCTAGCTGAAGGAACAACGAAGACGGCCGAACGCTTGTGGTAAATGAGAGAGGAAACCCTAGTATTTATTGAAAACCTAACGAAAATGACGGAGATATGGAGATAGTTGGTGAAGATCAAGGGCTGATGTGATACCACGTGTTTTAATTTGTGCGTTGTTTTTTTTAGTCGGTGATAAGATATCGACGGCTCATAAATGCGTAGAATTCACGCTCAAACGTCAAATATTAAATTGGGCTGGAGTTCGGCCTGAACACAACCCAAATTAGAGACCCAATGAGTGTAAGGTCATCAGTTTGTTCCATTAAAAGCCACTAATATTGTACAGCCTCAATATAGCCCAAATAAGATAGATACCCAATGAGCCTAAAGAGTAAGGACATCAATTTGATTGATCAAATGAACCCACTAATATTGTCCACCCAACCTCCGCTAGAGCCACACCCAATGAATTTGCATCAGTCCCAGTGTGGCTGATTAGCCTCTCGACCACCTACTGATCATCATCTCTATTGCCTCACCAACTAGCTAATCAAACGCGGCTGCTGCTGCTGCTCCTCCTCAGCCTACGGAGGAGTATTAGTAGCCTTTTCCAACTATTATTCCCCTCTCCGTTTCCAGCTGTTGTTCCCCTACCAAGGAAAGGTTCTTATTCCATTATGCATTACGCACTCATGGAAATGGCTCATGGCCCCTATGTAGGTGTTGGGGGTTAAGTTTTCCCCACTTAAAAACAAAATGAAAAAATAGCCCCTTTTTA